AATGCTACTGCTAAAAATAAACTAATAATAATTCGATAAAAATAAGTAAAAATAAGACTAAGTTATCTATTCTACCATAATATCAATTATTTTTATTAATATAATATAATTATATAAAAACAAAAAAAAAATTTAATTATAAATACATAATTTTTTTAATTTTAATATAATTTACAAATGATATTGTTTTATTAATAAACAATAAAAAAAAAAACTAATTAAATTAGTTTTTAATTATTAATATTTTATCATATACGCGTAATTATAAATTATTGATTACTATTGTATTTAGAAAAAAATTTTTTAAATCAAATGTATTTTTTCAATAAGAATAATTATTGTTTTATTTATTTATTTTTTATATTGTATATTTATATTTTTATACGGTATATTATAAATTTTGCAAATACAAATTTTTTAATTGATTTTAATTGAAATTATTTATTCGAGTTATAAAGAACTTTATAAAGAACTTATATTGATTTTTTTTTTTTTGATTTTTTAGAAAAAAAAAATTCATATTCTCAACGCCCTAGACAATTGAGTGAATCGGTTATCAAGTTATATATATAATTTATTAAAAATCATAACTTTACAGTATCTTTGTAATATATTAGATATATTTAATTATATAATAATTCGTTAAAACATGAATAGCGTGTAAAATAAATTTTACACAATATACTGTAATATAAAAAAATTTTTTTTATTATGTTTTAAAATAAAAATTACAATAAGTCGTTTATTAAAAAACATCAAATAATCAATAATATTATATAATATTTTTAAATATGATTTTAAAATAAAGATCTCGGGTTTTTTTTGTTTGGAAAAAAAATTTTTTTTTTTTAATTTAATTAGATTTCTATATTCCGAAATCAAAACGATAAATACTTGGGGTGCACAATAATCGAAGTTCCATAATCATCAAGATAAAGTTTACACGGTTTGTAAATAAAGATTTAAACGCAGCCCTCCATGTTATAAGTTACCAAGATTCGATTTAACCCGATACGGCAGAATGTTACTGTGCACATAATTGGAGGATGTCAAACAAGTATAGATTGTTGTTTCGCGCATTAACGGAAGACGTGTATCGATGGTAGATCCAGTGCGTCTGGGGAAGAATCGTGAAGCCAAGTGGGCACAATAATAAATAAAACCTAGATCGTTTTCATGGGAAGATGCAGAAGTATAAGCATGTGACCGTTGTTAGATGCATATATCAGAATAACGATGTTATTCTTCAATGGTAATGGAGAATCCTGGTGGGACAGTCGATGAAAGAGAATGTGGATGTCGAGTAACAACAATATAGTGTACAAAGAGGGTCCCGCGTGTGTGCTAGTATCGGAAGCTCTTGCACATCTGAGCCATCGGAATCTTACTGTTAGAAAGCGCGTGCATGTGCGTTTTTTCTTGTTGATCAAATCACAAAGTGCGCATGCACGTACCATACGCACACTCACCTACCACTTTGGTTTCCCATTCTGATCGGTTTCTTTTTTTTTTTCTACGATGGCTAAAACACGTCTTATTCACAAGTGAGGTGGACAATTGAGATCCCGAGTTAGTCAGGAACGAAAGGAGGCGGTGACCGGAGTCTGATGGATGGATCGTAACTCAGAGGATAGCCAGTGGGTGAGATGGGAGCACGTGAAAATTATAAAAAATTTTTTAAAACGCCCGAACACTCGCCGTTGGATGTTTGCATACATACTGTATATTTATTCAAGTATAATATTATTTATTTATTTGTAAATTAAATATAATTTAAGATACTTTCTAGAGCACGGGAACAAAAAATAATAAGAGAGGATCGGCATAACATTGACCAGATTATTGACCGGAAAAAAAACATTTGTTGCTTATTTGGAGGAGGGATGAGGTGACAGTAGGTTGACAAGGTATCGAACAAAACTGGAAATTTAATGAATTTCCAACCACAATACAATACATTGTGATTCAGATGTTGATCTGTTTTCTATTTTGAATTTCCAGTAATTTAACCAAATATCATTTCATCAACCAACCCCAAACCCCCGTAGTCACCGTCACTAGTCGGTATTTACGTTACATACTGACATATTACCAGATTTGCACAAGTATGCGCGCAGATCAACGACAGTGGGCCATCTGTAAGGATTTCTCCGTTTGTTTTTCCATCAGCATGTATAAGAGATGGAACCACCGCAGTCAATAATATGCCGACTCAGTCAAGCATCCATTCTCTCCGCATTCTTGATTTTTGGTGAATGAATTACAGCCTATCATGAATTTACGGTACCTCCTTACTAAACTTATTACCGTTAAGTAAAAAAAGCTTACATTTATTGCCATTTACGTAAAGGTTAATCTTTCATTATTAATATCAACTCAGCTTACGTAGCACGTATTTCTACGCTGTTTGTGTAGCAAATCAACCAACACACAAATCCATATATATATAAAGTCTTTACATAACCCCCGGAAAGTGCAGAAAAAAAGATTTTTTTTCCATGCTATATAACGACCTAAAAAAAATTTCAATTAGCATACTTTAAACATTATACTGGTCTTGTCGATTATATAATAGATCTGCGTACGTGTGCGATGAACTGACCATCATTGGAATCTTCTACCAAAAATTTTTTTGATTCTGTGTTAGTCCGGTGTAGGTATAAATTATTTTCTGCCAATCTCGCAACTCTTCACCCACGCCTCCTCTTCCTCTCTTCCTAAATCTAGAAAGAATATATATATATGTATTTGTATATATATATATATATATATTCATCAATCTATCTAACTTCCATTCTCTTTTTTCTTCACTGAATAGAGGACACGAAAAGAACAACATCTATTATATTCCTTATACGGATAGAGAGTAAGTTACAGTAACTACACACCATCATATCATTATACTCCACATTCGCCTACGTACGTACGTACGTACGTAGCTTGTTTCGATTCCGAGGGTCTGGTTTCAGTAAATAAAAAAAAAAAAAAAGGGTGCCACGAGACATTATTGTATACTAGTTTCCAAGTAAAAAAGGTGAGAGGGCTTGTCCTTTATGTTTTTCTCTTGGTTTCTCCAGGTTTCTCCAGTGGGAAATTTTTTCACAAGCACGTTTTTTTTTTTTTTTATGTACATTTATTATTGACTTTTTTTAAAATACCCTTCTTAGACTACTTATTACCATATAACTCGATATAAAATATTCACCCAGTTGATATTTGACTTGCTTGACCCCCCCCTCCCCCCTCCACCGGTCGTCGGTCAATATCTAGACAACAACGTAACCAATAATAATAATATAATAATATTAATAATAATCGCCATAATCATAATAACTTCCTCATTCTACCTAGCCTTCGTTTTACCCCATTCCCAACCATTACCACCACCATAAGGTAAAAACCGTTCAGTTTAATAAAGACAGGTTTCGCTCGTGTTTGCATATTCCAAGGATACTTCTATTCATGATCCTATTTTCTCTTACCATAGAATCAAACAACTAACTCTTTTCCGTTTCTAATGCTTTTTCTCGCCTTTACCCAAATCGCGTGGCTATTATTCGTGTCAACTCGTTATCAAATAATAATTAACAACGATTATTCTTTCTTCACAACACTTTATCACCACCACCCGTTTCTTACTGTAGTTGGTGACGGAATATATAACGCCATTCTTTAGATACCTAATACTGTATATCTGGTCATTCGGTATTAGAGCACCGTCATTTAAACCCATTACCTTTTTAGAATAGACTTACAGGATAATGTCTTCATCACAAAAAGATGCCTCGAAATCAAACAATGATGTTACTGCACAACCGACAACCTTCTCACCGACAGTACTCACCTCTTCGTCAACATCAACAACAACTAACGGACATCCTTCTCACAAACACCTATCTCACGATCTTCTAAGGAAATACAACCCTTCAGTCAACGCGTTGGACGAGGACGATCTGAGTGATGTCTCTTCCTCTTCCTCAGCTTCGTTGCAGAAGAAAAGCTTCACTCAGAGGAAAACAATTTCTTCTACTTCGGAAAGTTCGGATGATGATGAATACGAGGTTCCGTCGAAGGAACCTTACGAATCAAAATACATTACTCTAACAACAATTAACGCCCTGGATTTCTTGCCCAGCGGTGATTGCACCGATTCTCTGTCCTCTGATGCTGTTCTAACCACCCTTTATAAAGCTACAAAAATGACTTTCACCTTATGTTTGGCTTCTTCCATAATATCTGCCGGCATATTTTTCTCTTCAGGGAATGGATTAATCCTTGTTTTTATTAATATTGCCATGACAACCTGGTTTATTATGTGCTCCTTGATCTGGTCTTTTTTTCTACTTCTTCTGAACCGCGCTTGGCCCCTCGGGCTTACCATTTCTTATGCTAAAAAGGCTTCATTATACATGACCATCATCCAGTTTCTGTGTGATCAGCGTTTTACCTATTCGCATTCTGACATTTCCTTCCTCGGAAGTGTACTGTCCTATGGTTCTGTGATGAGCTTACCTATCTTCATAATGCTCGAGCAGTTCCTCAACGCTTATCAAAAGGAAAAGTTCCGTAAACAAGCCTTACTCAAGGTGGAGCGCGAGAATTCCCAGAATTCCGTGTATCGAGCCCTCGATCGTTTCAACGAACGCAAAGGCTTGTACCTTCGCACCATCTCCGATCAATTACACCAAACTACTGATCTGGCCATGAGCACATTGAAACAGTTGTCCCCCCCTCACTTCCTCTCCAAACCTCACGAACAGTTGTCCGCCTGTTCCATGTCAATGCCCACTACATCGATCAATGCTGTTTACACCATTCTCAAGGATGTTAATTATATTTCCACTCACCTGGGTACACTCTCCTTGTTGCTGTTCTCGGATCCCAATAAGGCCGAAAGATCTAATGTTAAACGGGAATTCGATATCGGCGAGATGATCCAAAATGTCGGTGATGCTTTGGCTGGTGTTGCTTCTTGTGCAAAAGTTGAGTTGGTCATCTACCATGTGGATTACGGCTTGAATCATTTGAACGTCATCGGTGACGAGGCGGCCCTCCGGCACGCTCTGGTGGACGTAAGTATAAATCGACCGACTTTGTCACGTGATTAACAACAAATCGTTCGTTACGCATCGCATTCAATTTTCCCTTTTACCTATTGTTACTTGTCTTCATAGTTACTCAAATGCATGTTAAGTGGCGCTAGCCCTGGGGCGTGCGTGGAACTGGGTCTTCAAGTGCGAGCATCTGGAGGAGATGGCGAATCAACGTCCGAGAAGGATTCGAACATCAAGCCCAATGATAAGGTCACATGCACAATCGAGATCATCCACAATCCGGGTTCCATAAAACTCTCTCAGCGTAAGCCTATGATGATTCCCAATGCTAATTTGGTGCACAAGGTTTTGGGTTTCCTGGGTGCTACGCTTAAGGCCGACGAGGAAAGTGACCTTCAACGTTTCGAGATCACCATAGAATTGAAAGTCGGTTCACCCCTTGCTCATCCTAGTGTGCCAACCGTTAACGAAGAGATTCTTCAGCGTTACCCTCACCTGCGTATCACCGGCGAACCATCCGTCAAGGACCTCGTCAAAACTTCCCAGAACATGAGAGGTCAAAAGGTCGCCTTGCACGCCACCAGCAAGAGTTTCTTCGCGAAACATATAACGAGTTGTTTGACCACTTGGGGAACGGATATCTCACACATACCGATAGGCGATGAAGAAGACTTGGAAGCCTCATCGCCCGTGGAATCCAGAACCGGTTCTCCCCTCGGAGTTCTTGATTCGGAACAAAATTCATCGGTCAAACCTTCAAGTCGCGGAACTTCACAGTTGCCAGCAAACTCCGTACCTCCTACATTCATAATAATCGATGATGACATTGAGACTCTTAAACAGCAATTGACACAACTTCGTAATGCCCCCTTTCCGGACATTGTCGCCGCTGCTCCCATGTTTAACGCGAAATCTGGTCATAACAAACGTCGCCCGCAAGCTCCGGTGCTTCCTCATCAAACAACCGCGGTCATACATTTTACGTCGCTCTCGAATTATAAGCAAGTCAAGGATTCTGTACAGTGCATGTTATCTCCTGCCTCGGCTGGCTCGTTTCCGTTGCCACAAGTGCTGGTAATTCCTAAACCTGCCGGTCCGAGAAGATTCCTTAATGCTTTGCATACGACCACAAACAAGATTGTGGTGGACCCCGTTTACATACCCATCGCGACCTCGCCGATGAGTCCAGGTTCGCAATATGCGAATGGATTATATGCCAGCGGTGAAGTCAACCCAATGGAACAAATCAGCGACCAATCCAATAATTATTTCCCTTCAGACGTCGCTCAACGTTCGAACACGTCTTCACCTTCGGATGGCAACGTGCCACGATCAACGGCCAGCGGTGGTCCGTCGAGTCCTCGCATAATAATCTTTCCGAAACAGCCGAGAAATTCCGATGGCCGTGCAGGTATAATAGAAAAATTTGGAAAAGGCAGTTCAACTTCGACCACCCCTCCAATATACACAAATCAGACGACCACCAGAATACTGCCCAACAATCAATCACCTGGAACCATGTCACCCACGACTGGCATACCGAACGCAAACTTTTTCCCGGAAATGCCAGTCTCCGAATCACCTGTTTTACCCAGTGTGCCTGCAACGAATGGATCTCAACCGGCAACACCTTCACAAGAGGTTTCGACTTCCGTGCAAAATAAACCTTCGCCGGTCCCTTCGACGCGAAGAAGAACTAAACCGAATGGTAATCGTCTGATCGGTGTCATCCCTCCGATTAACGTGCTGATAGTGGAAGATAATCCGATCAATCAAACAATTTTGTCAACGTTCATGAGAAAGAAAAAGATTAAATTCGAGTGCGCTGCTAACGGACAAGAGGCTGTAGATAAGTGGCAGAAGGGAGGATTCCACCTGGTGTTGGTACGTATTTCATATTTGTCAATAACATTGTGACCTTACGAGCGCATATAAAAATACATGTTTCAACAACACAGATGGACATTCAAATGCCAGTGATGGATGGAATTGAGGCTACAAAAACAATACGACGATTGGAAAAATCACAGAAGATTGGTGTTTTCCCACCGACGCCTCCGGCACAGTTGTCGACCTCGTCGCCTTCTTCCTCCAACTCATCCACTCCCGCATCGACCCCTTCTTCACAAGATTTACCAAACCGATCTCCGGTCATTATAGTGGCGTTAACTGCTTCTTCGTTATCATCGGATAGGCAAAATGCTCTGGCGGCTGGGTGCAATGATTTTCTTACTAAACCGGTGAGCTTAGAATGGCTTGAAAAGAAGATCAACGAGTGGGGCTGTATGCAAGCGTTAATTGATTTTGATGGTTGGAGAAAGTGGAAAAAGGTGGAAGAAACTGAGAAATCCAACGAAAAGAAAACAGGAATAAGTAAGTCTTTGGGTTCACCGGGTGACAAAATCAAGAGGAGAGATACTACTCTTAGCAGAGAAAGTAAACCACCAAGAAATAACAGTAACAGTAGTAGCAGTAGTAGTGATCAAAGTGTTAAGGTTGGAAATAAGGAAAGTTCAAATATTACTAATAAATCGGACGATAAGGACATTGTAAATTCCGTATCACCGACACCATTAGCCACTCCTCCGATCAATCAAAGCATGTCTTATCCACCGCCTTCATCAAATTCAGTCTCGCCGAGATCTCACACAGTGCTACAGAGTTCAAGCGGTGAGCCCATTTCATCTCATCCCAATGACGCGTCTTTATCATCCTCACCCTTCAAACCTCTTGATGTTGGAATCGTAAGCAAGCCAAGAAATGCAGAGTCGGATTCTTTGGTGAAAGATCGAAGAATGAGTAGTGGTGACATAATATCAACAAGCACAAGCCGTGCAAATTCAATGGTCAATAGTAACATCATGAATTCAAATATCACGATACCGTTATTCACACCGACAACTGCCATCTCGTTACCACAAGGTAACGAATCATCACCAAAAAGGGTTGTTCGTAAAAGAGGAAATACATTCTCCTCGTCGTTGAACAATAGCTGAATTGATGAAAACGATTTTGAGTCAAATGTCAATTTTAACGGCGAAAGGCCTTTGATTAACACTCAATAATCCAATGGTGGAAGATAGGATGGATTTGGAACTTTTCTTGAGAAAGTGAAGAAGGTTCCCCAAGAAAGATTGAGGAAAGTTAGCGAGCAATTATAAGCCTTAGGCCTCCCTTGGAATTTATGGTAATTCTTATATATTTAAATATAATATATTATTTGCATGTAGCATACAGCTCTCGAAAAAAAAAAGTTTGTATTAAAAAAAAAGGAGCTAGTATTTTTTAAAAAAAAAATTTGTACAAATTATAATATATATATATTCGGTAACAAAAAAAAAAAAAAAAAAAAAAAAAAACTGTTATTATATTTTATCTTAAAAAATTAAAACGAAAAAAATCAAACTTTGAAGAACACAATAAATGATTTGTACTGTAGCAGACTATGGGTGTAAATCGAATCCTTGAGAAAATATTATTTTGTTATACAAACCTTGGGGGGAATATTATGATCTTACCAAATTTCATGACCACTCAGTGATTATAATGTTGATTTTAGGAATTTTATATTTATTGATACATTTCTAATGTACAAAAAACATACTTTATACGTCCTCCTTTCAACTAAAACAAATTAAGGCCTTCCCTCTAATAAAATGATCACCTTCACGTCGTCAGATCGACCTAACCAATGAGATTCTCACTGCCCCATTTCTTTCGGTGTCTTCGCTTTTATCGACAGTGCATGTAAGCCAGCCTTTAGCTCTTCATCCAATAATTTATAGATAATTTGGTGCCGTTGAAGGAGTGACTAATATTTTGATATATTAATTAATATATAATAAATCGAGAATGTGAAGTTTAAAGAGGTTTCACTAATTTTTTTTTACCTTCCCTTCAAAATTCTCCGAGACCACGGATACACTAATACATATATTATAAATTAAGTTAAGACGTTCATAAACATGATAAGGTTATCAACAAGAAGTTTTCAACAATTCCTCTTTTTATTACCGAAAATGTGTCTCTCTGCTATCAACATCTTTCATTTCATAATGATTGGCGTGTAAAGATGATTCGTTAACTATTTCTAAAGTTGTTGGTTGTAGGGACTGCGTTAACTACGTATACCAAAATACAAGTTAGAAATTATTCGGTAAAGAATTCCAAGAATAAATAAATAAATGAATAAATATATATGGAAAAAAAAAAAAAAAAAACCTTTTGTTGAATGCTTTTATATACCGGCCCCTGTTCCATTTTTTTTGTTTGGCTAAAAGAAGCAACGCGAATCAGAGATGGTAAAATCGAGAGAGGTTTGCCGCGAATCATTTCAAGTTCGTTTACCTCCCGGCGTGTTTTGATTGGATGATCTTGCATGTGATTATTTAATCATTGTCATTTTGGGAATATAAACCAATATGAATAAATAAATAAAGTTAGTCTTTACTATTGCATTGTTTACATACCGTAAATTTTCTCCTCCCTTCAACACGAAGAATGAAAATTATTTCTTTTCTTTTATTGACGTGTTGATACCCGAACGTTCGAAAATTTTTGACAACATGAGAGAATCAAGTTCAAGTGCCCTTTATTTTATATATTTCTTGTTTTTATATCACATCATTAGTATCATTGCGTGTCCCATTGTGATCTTGCGAGGTGCAATCATTTACATAAAGAAAGAAACACGTCTAAATAATGCAGGTAAATATTTATAAAACCATGATAATTTTATAAATCACGTGTTTATTTTCAAAATCCACAAAATAATCAATGCACGGTCATCCTTGCTTCTTCATCGTCGGATGATTTTCTTAACAGACCAACGTTGGTTGATTCTGATGATTGGAGAAAGCAGAAGAAAAAGTCAGAAACCGTCACTCGACCAAACAACAAGGAATCACGAATAAGCAAGTCGGGATTTATCGAGTGACAAAATCAAGAAAATGGATACTACTGTTGATGGAAAAGCAAATCAACAAGAAACAATATAGACAGCAACAGAAAGTAGAATATAAAGATGCCTGTGAAGATAAAATTGCAATTCAGACGATGAGGAAATTTAAATTTCGTATCATTGATATCATTAAAGGATATTCAGACATTACAGGATTCAGCCGTTATAGGACCCGCCATGGATCTGTAAGAATTGTAAAACTTGATTTCTCAATAAAAGATCGAAGAATGAGCAGTGGTAATATAACCTCATTATCGTCTACAAATGAAGATTAATTTACCCCGAGAAATAGATTTCTGATAGATTTGATAAAACAAAAAGGTTCAATCGGAAAAATTTTGTCATGTATCGATTCAAGTGTTGTGATTGACTTATTCTTATTTCATACGACTATTAAAGCGCTAGCCCTGTGCGACAATCGTTTCTTCTATATTTCGCAAACACTGTTCGTTCGTTATACCCTTGAAGCTTTAAGGCTCAACTACAGAAATCTAGATGGATCATCTACCATTGAGAGTACTTGCAAAACTGTGTATTCCAGGTAAGCCTTTTTTTCACATTTGCTGTTATTTAAACGCATATGTGGTAAATGAATTGATGTATTTCCATATATCATTGGTGTTCTTTAAGCTTACTGGGACAAAGATCCAGTTCAATGGATAGTCTTTGTGACCGGGACATATTTATCATAAAATTTCCAGAGACAGATATAGCTATCAATATGCATATATCATTATGTCATCTCTTAAGGTAATCTCATTTTTATTTGTCTATTGTTTTAAATTTCAAACCTTTTGACATTATCAATCGTCGATATCCCTACGACCGGGTATTTCTGGAGTGGGCTCTGTGATGATTGTTATGTTTAAAGGTACAAGCTATATCCCTGCGGTCGGATGTCGAGCAATTTTATTGCAGAAAGCAAGCTGGGTGTTTGCTAGAAGTGGGGAAGTGCTGGATGTACGATAGTTTTTGCAATTTATAATATGACTTGTACTTTTGATTTGGTTTGAAACAAGGATCACGAGAAAAATCAGTCGAAGATTTCTTCGTCTGAGTAAATAATGAATGAGACATTCTCTTTTATGTGATGTCTTATGTTATGGTGGAAGCTGGTCATTTTGATTTTTTATTTCACTTTAGGTTCCTGCTTTTCTCACCAGCTTTGATATACTTTTTATCATACCCAGTGTGTTTTGATCAAACTGTATTGTGATTATTGAAAAAAAAACATAGATACAGTATATCACTTTTGCAACATTTAAGTTTTAGAGAAATAATTTCAAAAGGTTAACATTAAGGTCACAATTGAAATCATTGAAACTGATCAAATTTATCATCAATTCAGGTTAACTTAATTTTAATTGTATGGCAAATTGATTTGATTCATAATTAATCTGCTTTGAATTAATTTTAGTTTATTTTAATTTAATCTTAATTCAATTTCATTTAATACACACACAGTCAGTGTAATTAAAGTTGTTAAATCATTAGCATTTAATAACAATTATTTCAAAAATCACATTGTAAAATTACCAAATGACATGTAATCAATAATTGAAAATTATGTTAAATTCAGAATTACAGTATATTATCAATACATGTTTCCTTTTATAGCAATTTATTTATATGTAACATTATACAATAATATAATATTATTGTTATTGTTATTTAAGCTACTGTATATTTAATTTCTTAAACAAAAAAGCTCTGGATAAAATCATTATATTACATTAAATAACACAAATTGTATATTTCTGGTTTCTTAATAACACCATTATATAAAACTTGGTTTTTATCACTTGATTTTTTTTAAAAAATAAATTTCTTATATTTTTTTACATTCAAATACAACGGTGATTGATTTATAAAATCAAAAAATAAAAACATTTTGATAAAAAAAAATATTACTTAAATATTTATACTGTATATATATATTATCTAAATATTCAATGTTTTTTTCTATTCTCTCAAGTATGTAAACTTTTTTTGAAATTTTTCAAAAAATGGTATCTACATTGATTTGATTTAAAGTTTTTAATTATACTTGAATTTTTTAATTATAATTAATTTGAAATAATTAATACTTGGTTTAAAATTTAACAATACGCATAATTTCCATATGTTTATCTTATATAAATAAAATATTAAAGTGTTTATTTTATTTAAAATAATTTAATTTTTTCTTTTTTCTTTTATATGGATTTCCTTTTCTTCAATATTAAGAACGATCTTCTTTCCATTCAATAATAAGTTTTGATGTTATTGATTATCTGAAAAAATATTTAAACAATAAAATATTATCTGTTATAGCATAAAATTACTTTACGGTGTTACAAATCTTGAATGACGATAACGAATTTATCTCGGCAAACTAGAAATTGATTTTTGTTGATCAATATCATTAATTTGAAAATTGAAATTTCTAAAGATTAAATAACAAAAATTTTCGTAATGTATTGTACATTGTATAAAACGTATAATATAAATTAAATCTGAATCCTGATTTAAATGCAATCCATGAATAAATTCTAATATTGATTGAATCTGTTAATTAAAATAACATGATTTAATTATCCAGCGACAAACTGGTTTTATTACTAATATGATTAAAGTCAATAATAGCAGAAATACCATCATTTTTCAAAAAATCATAATATTTAACGTTAAATATTGAATTATAGTACAGTTTATTAAGAATGCGATACAATAAATTTATCTCCTTAATATATGTTAGTAATAACGATGACCTTAGGAAAAATGGACTTGACGCTAACAGAATGGATGTCGTGTATGCAGGTGAGAACCGAAATCGTGTGTCGTCATCCTGTGTCATCACCAAACATCGATCGATTCTGAATTATCGTCACTGATATCATGCTGCTTAAAAAACAATAGAATAAATTTTTCGTGCTAATATTCTCGGAATAAGAACACGCACGATAATCTACATATAGATAAATATCAAATCTTGGAAATGGATTCTTAAGATTGCTTTTGGGAATTCCGTAGAATTTTCTCCCAAGTGCTACAAGTTTGAGATGACCGATAGGGTGAAATTAGTGGTCGTTGATGTTCCTCCCATGTCAGGTGTTTTGACCTATATGATTGATTATTCATTGAAAAATATGAGCCAGGAATCAATTGATTGCATTATTTCAAGGAAAGGAACCACCCGTACCGATCCACTTTGAATCGTTCTTTTGACGGCGTTGTTAATTCGACTGGCATAATCGTCTAATCCCAGGTGGCGTAACATTAACACTCCCGAAAGAATCAGCGCTGTCGGATTAGCGACATTACGACCTTTTATATCCATGCCGACATGCCGACATCCCTAACGAACGAACAACAGATCATGTCTTACACACGCACGTAAAAACTCGAATCGGAGAGAAAACAAGAAAGTCGCAAATTCACTCCTACCGGTTCAAACAGGGCGTAGTTACGTCCGATGTTGGCACCGGGTATAATGCCGGGACCACCTACAAGAGCCGCACCGACGTTACTCACGATATTACCATACAAATTTGGCATGACCATGACATCAAATTGTTGTGGCCTGGAGACCAGTTGCATAGAGCAATTGTCAACGATCATATCATTGAATTCGATTCCTGATGATTCGTACTCTTTGGCAACCTCGCGACATGTGTTGAGAAAAAGTCCGTCACCGAGTTTCCTATTCAAAAATGAAGTCACCAACTTCAGAAATTGAATCGATCATTCTAGCGTGACAACACATTGAAAATACATTACATGATATTGGCCTTGTGAACGCACGTGACCTTTTTGCGATTATTTTTTAGTGCAAAGTCAAAAGCAAAACGTGCAATACGTTCCGTTTTTTCTCTAGTCACAATTTTAAGCGATTCCACAACTCCTGGATAGGACTGATCAATATTCCAATGTTATTGGTCCTTTGACGGAAAATTTCATTCATCATATGGAGCAATGACGACAATATAGATAGATAGATGTATTCATACTTGATGTTCGAGACCAGCATATTCACCCTCGGTATTCTCGCGAATAATTGCAAAGTCCACATCTTTGTGACGTGTGGGATAACCTTTGATATTCTTGATGATAACCAGTGACGCATATATATCGAGACCCTTTCGCATTGCAACATTGAACGACTGATGACCCATTCTGGATATTGGCGTGTAGAGAATGCCTGAGAGGAATCAAAAAATTAGTTTTCCTTCAAGGCAATCTTTTTTTTTTTTTAATCTGCAAATAAAAAATGTACCCTTCAAAGCGACTTTATTCCTTCTTAAACTTTCAACGCTCTGTTGAAATAAGATATCATCCTCTTGGGTGTATCCGGAAACATCCAATTGCTCCCATTCAATAGGAACATTTGCTGCTTTGAAAATAGTTTTCACAGCGGAAGAGGTTTCTTGACCAATCCCGTCACCTGGAATCAACGTAACCGTATACTTTCCTCCATACTTGGTGGTACCTGCCTTAAAAATTTCAGAATTGAGGAGATATTTTTAAGTCCTTTTTGTTTCAAGCGTTTTATGAAATTCCACTTTGCTACACTTGCCCGTGGAGTGCGAAGACTGGAAATATATGTTCGAAAGAATAACTCACTCGAGCTTCATCTTGAGTCGGCGTCACCACCGAGCTCACCGCACGAGGAAACCCCTTTAAATAGAGTAACGATCTATGAGGTCGAACACTAGCAACGTTTTTTTAAGAAAGTTGTCAAATTTTTTACTTTTTTGGCGACCCCAATTATCGGCGACGTTTTCTTGGCAAGATTCCTTAACATTTTAGTTAATCTTTGTTGCGATTAAAACTTCGAATTTAAAACATACGGTATGACATATTTATGCCGTCACGTTAGATCTAAGATCTGAGGATCTGAGGATGAAATTTTTTAATCACACTAATTTTGTGGAACGTAGCTTTGCGCATCTATCGTTAACCTCTTATCTGAGAAGTCAAACAAAGCATACAGTTAGAAACCGTCATTCTTTATTGTTTGAGCATAACAAACTTATTATTATTCGGTCATTTCTATCTCGGACGTTAATGAGCAGTTTTAATAAATTGTATCATATAAGAATTAAATATTGTAGTTGTGTCGGATAAATCTTTTATGTACAGTACACATTTTGTCACACGATAGCCCTCTCTTATCTAGAAACGAATAAATGGATCGTAATCAATCGATTAATTAATAAAATTATTGAGATAGATATTACGATTAAAATACTAACATTTCCTAAAAGTGATCATACGTTCTATTAAAAATACATAATGTAAGTCAAACGAAATGGGAGTAATACACAAGATCCGTTGGTGATTGATTATTAATCTTTTATGGCACCAAATCCTCTACCCATTTTCTTTGCATGCGCATTCCTTCGATCGTGATTTGCACGTCCACGCTTGTTATATCCGCCTCTTCCTCGCCCCCGTCCTCGTCCCCTTCCACGATTACCCTCACCAGAATTCGAGTTCCCAGGTTGCGGAGAATCTTCATGCGAGCTGCCTTCCTCGGATTCCGATGATGATTGTGTTTCATCAACGTTTCCTCTCCACTCATACGTAGCAAGTATACGATCTTTCCTGGGCTACGAGTGAAAAAATACCAGGTTAAAAATTGATGATCAATAAAAACATTCGCGAAAGCAAAATAAACACGTAATCGTTACATTTCGCTGGAACATGATGAACCACCCTTCGAGCTGTTCGTCGGTCATTTGTGTAACTTTTTTAAGTCGATCACGTTCAGCAGAGTTTTTTGCAGCACGACTTTTCTCAAACACCGAGGGGTTCGATTGAAGGGCCCTCACGAGTTCTCCTTCGTGAATAATGCTAGGATCGATCTAATCAAAAAGGTGTGATTTTTTAACTTGTATCGGGCATCATTCAACTTAGCCGAAACGAAACTCAATTAGCAAAACTCACATTTTGCCGCGATGTGCTTCCTTCGTCTAATTCATCGACCAGATGAAGGTCGATACCACGCATCTTCAATCCGCTGCTATCATAAGTATCGTCATACTCATCCTCATACATCATGTTACACGCAACATCTATTATGGATTCCTTGTAGGTTCCCACAAACGATTTATCATCCAATAGCTTCTCTGCTGTTCCACGACTAAGTTTTTAATGAGAAGTTCATTAGATTCAAACACACATAATGCCAAGAATGATTAAAGGTATCATTCAGTTACTTCTTTTTCCCCAAGTTCACACGTGTGGAATCGAGAACTTTTCCGGAAAACACGTCGAACTCATCATTATCAAAGATATTTCGACGGTTAACGAGGGGGCTTTCTTCTGATGTGATTAAAAAAAGGAATGCACAATTAGAATTACAAAATAACAAAAAATTTCCAATTCATAATTACATGATCCGAACCTTTTTCGTTTATATCTTCGTGAACTTTATCCGGTGTGTATCTGAACAGTTATCAGATAAATATAGATTTATTTTTTTTTAAAAAAAAAAACAATATTATATCACCTACCGAACCATCGAACGATCCAGCTTTTCCAAGTTTGGAGGAAGTGTGCCTTGAAGTAATTGATCGATGACCGTCTCCACGTTATTGTCGAAAGCGGTTAAGCATGCCTTAATGAACCCATCACCATAATCGGGGAATATTTCGCGGACTTCAGAAATTAGCGATAGTAGAATTGCTGACTCCTCCTCCTCCTATCACGCGGGGAAATCGTCAACATGAAAATTACACAAAGTATTTTACAAGTAAGTTTAATCAAATTTGTAATTGCCTTTTCTACGCTCGCGGGGTAAGTCTGTGATAGAGATTTGTATCCATTTTCACCGTTTGTCACGCGTGATGATATTTTTTTCAGATTTTCTTCCAATCTCATTCTCCACGGCAGCCTGCCAGTCTCCTGATTCATGTTACGTAATGATTCTAGCGACTTGATCACAAAGTTCACTCGAGCATCATCGGTGTGGAAAGTTAAGGATGTTAAGAGGAAAATTTTCTTTGACATTAATAATGAGCCTACGAGATCTTTTGAAAAGGATATCCATCGAAAACCTCATTTTCTATTCTTGTCAATTTTCCACTCAAGTTAAATTCAATCTCCAGATCCAAAAGCAAGGGTGCATCCAAAAATGTTTGAACGGGCTTCTCTGGTTCGGAAGATTCGACGAACCAAAAGAGTGTATCCAACATCCCCTCGATTATCTCGTTGATTTTCGCTTCGTCTCCTGATGTTTCGTCGGATCTCGTGAACGAATAAATGTCATCTTCGTTGGCCGTATACCCAATCGGACTAAAGTAACATGCATCCAATATGTGATACGTCAGCGAAACCAACGCATGTTTTAAAATGACTAAATCTTTGGTCTCATTTTCCGCCGTGAGGTTCGTGATTATTGGCACAGTGTTGTCATAGAAATCTTTTATAAACATCAGGAAGTTTGAATTTTCGGCAAAATCCCGTTTATCATTGAATACCTTTGCTACTGATTTTGAGACTGTGAACAAGCAATCTAAGGTAATTACGATATCTGAAACGTAAGCGAGGTAGGACCGAACCGCTTCGACCTTTTTTGGATCAAACGTGGAATCTTTACTTGCCTTGTCACCGTTCGTCGCCATCTCCTGAAATTTCTCCTGAATGGCTTTGAGGTAATTGATGATTACCTCGGAATGTGTTTCAAAATCCTGTATGAGGTTTGGAACGCATTTCATCGTTTGATCAAAGTACCTCCTCGTGTGAGCAAGGTTTGACCTCCCGTATGTTGAAACGACGTCGAGCAACCATGGGACCGAAATCACTTCCTTTTGGTATAAGTACTCGGTCAGCGTGAGCCTATCGCTCTTGTCTGTCTCTTGGGCAACTGTTTGAGGATCTGACAACCGCAGTAGTATGGCCAAAACTTTTTTATCCAATTCCAAATCGGTGACGCTGTCTACTTGTTCGGTTGAACACCTACGAGATTTTGCGCGAATACCCAAGAATGTCTCTAGGAACTTTTGAAGTGACACGTTCCGCAACATGAGTTTGCTAAAATTTTCATCCTTCGATTTCAGAAGCAATGAAAGATTCGTTGTCCAAACTTCGAGCGCGGTTGTCCATTGTGCTTCGGTTATTTTCTGGGAACCAAATTTAGCGATATAAGGAGGAAACAACATGTTTTTTGCCATTTGTAGACTTTCTTTCCGATCAAAAAAAAAACCAAAGAGGTTGACTGCGTACACCGGACGTGAATTGAATTTTAAGTGATACAAGAATTATGTAATCAATTTACGTATTCTTGATCTACTACGCTCTATACGTACAAGCCATATAACTAGCTAGAGTAACATGCAGCTTTATAATAATGATAAATAAGTCTTAGTCTGAGGGTTATAAGTGTTAAACGCGGGAAATTTGCATAGTCGTATACCCGGTGATAATGTGCACGTCGATTGATTCTCGGCGATTCCCTGGTGAAAGGTTAAAGAAAACGTCGTGAAAAAATTTTCTCGAAGCTGATGGGCGCTTGATGATCAAGTTATCCCTGGACGCTGCACATCAGATCTAATAAAAAACGTTACCTGATGGCGGCCGACGAGTCATTATCGCCCTGAATCGAATTCCGGGTTACACGAACTAATACGCATTATATATACGTGAAATCAGGGTTTCCAAATCATTTTTGTAGCCGGAATCCTCAGAGGCTTCCTAAAATTACATTCAAAAATTTGTCAAAATGCAAAAATTACATATAAGGTTGATTATCACTTTTCAATCCAAAATTTTGACAGAGCACTTGTAGTACGCAGGAAAAAAAAAAAAAGCTATTAAATTAATCCCATCTAAACACGTGATATACAGTTAACTACAATGAGTCGATCTTAAGTTTCTAGAGCAATCGTCGATTCCCCACCAAAACCTATCAGTCAATAAACTGCCATTTTACTGTGGATTTGCATTATTTTCTAGAGATGCCCGAGGTCGCACAATAAAATTTTCCTAAATTGTGCAAGTTTTCGGAAACAACCCACGATGAAACTAAATCGTTGGCAAATATTCCTTTCTTTTTTCTTCTATTTTTTTTTTTTTTTTTTTTTTTACGCGCCGGATAACATCACTAACCTAGGGATTGGCAACACCAGCTTTCTTTTTTCTCTGTTTTGATTCGTACTCATGCCAATCCCCAAAAATTTCGGGAAGCCTAAAATTTCATCAGAGATGATAATTTAGAAAATCACGAATTCGAAAATCATGTGTCGCTCATCCCATTGGAAAAAGCACTTACTCGGAAGGTGAACATGACCTGGGTTCTTCCGAAGTGAAGTAGGAAAAATTCAAAGCTGCTCGTGCAGTGGGTCGATGAGCTGGATTCACCGATAGAAGCGCCTTGACCAAATTCAGAGCACCTGGCGAGAGAACACTGACAAAACAAAAATAGGATTTAATAAAGGCATCTGAAATTGTCTCAAGTTATTGAACTGTTGTCTAATCCATCAATTAGGTTGACGGGTCCAACTTCCACCGCGCCTTAACTCCATTGACATTTCTCTCATCTATTTACTTCGAAGCTCCCTCAAGGCTTCATGAACTTTTCCCTTAAGGACAATTAATCAACAAGTTTCTAGAAAATTAGACTGATAAACTGATATTTACTTTTTGTATTGCTCCCTGAACTTGGATTTCCAAAGTTCAGGGAACTGAAGTGCCGTATACCAAGGCAGATCGGTTATATTCGGCCATTCCTGAGATGTTGGTACTCCCATCAATTCGAATATCTTCTCTAGTTGATTGATCTCGTCATTTCCCGGGAATAGCGGCCTTCTGGTTATTAACTCCATCATTATACATCTGTCAAAATCACGGGACGAGAAGGGGAGATGAGAAGTTGTGAATAACAAACATCTCTCATCATTCATTTTAACATACCCGGCGCTCCAAAGGTCGACTTCTGGGCCATATTCGGTGGCACCCAAACATAATTCCGGAGGACGGTACCATAATGTGATGACTCGATTTGTATAATCATGCATTCGATTAGGGTGAAAAAGACGGGCGAGCCCAAAATCTGCCAACTTGAGCTCCCCTCGGTTATTTAATAATATATTAGATCCTAGAAAATGAGAGAGATGAGTTTATATTTGACCGAAAAATTAACAAAACAACAAACGTGCTGTAAAAGATAATCGTGCCTTTGACGTCACGATGCAAAATGTGATTCTCGTGAAGGTGAGCTAAACCTTCCAGCAATTGCTTCATAAGACATTTAATGTGATGTGGCTCGTACGTTATTTGCGGATTTGAAAGAACGCCGGTGAGATCATGATCCATATACTCAAAGACCATATATACCACTCCTAAAGTCAACAAGTGAAACATGAGTACAACTGAGGTAAACTAAAATAAATCTCTAAAACATCGACAAACGCCAGGATATTTTCTGCGTACCTTGATAAACCATTATCTCTTTTAAGCGAACTATGTGATCGTGTTTGAGTTTTTGAAGTAATTTTATTTCCCTTAATGCGGTGACCGGAAACTACAAAATGAAATTTCTATTTAAAAAAACACGAAAATAAAGAACAAAAAAAAACACCAGAATCCATTCCGGCACATACTCCTTCTTTTTCCGCCTCCATACGTATTCGTTTTAGCGCCACTATCTCCCCGGTTTCACGATTCTTGGCCTTATACACCTTACTGTTGGAAAATAGTAATTAGTAACAAAAATTACGAGACACAATATCGCAAGAAAATGTGTACCAACCCATATGTTCCCTCTCCAACCTGACCCAATTTTTCGTATAATTCAGTTGGCTTGACTTGGAGCGGTGTGGCCGCAACATTTGATAATCCAGGAGGAACGTTCTGCGATCCTGACTGCAAGGATTGTGATGCTGCCGGTGGGTTGGAGGATTGAGTTGGTAAAGCAGGTAGCTGTTGAGGTTGTTGATAGGTTTTGTTTGGAGAAACCGGCGACCGTAATTGTGATACGTGTAGCGGGTGTGTGGTGGAGCTTGCTTGGGAATGTTGCATGTTGAAATGCGGGGGATTCGGAGGTTGTGGAGGTTGGGGTGGTTGTGGTGGCATCGTATGCTTGTTATCTAAGGCTTGACTGTAATCGTTGTTATTTATATACGAAGGATATTGACCCGGATAATGTTCATACGCATGTTGATGATGGTGATAATAACCATCGGTTTGATAATGATGACTCTGTTGGTGATAATTGGTCGCACTTTGATCCCAGGATTGTATTTGAGGAGGCAATTGTCCTTGAAAAGGCGCTGGCTCTTGATAATTATTTTGATCTACATATGAAGTAATTGCCGAATGTGTTCCAGGAGCACCTGGCTGACTTAAATGCGTGGATTGCTGCCGTTCGTGCTCACTCTGCCCCATATGTCCAATATGTACTCCTTGACTAATTTGCGTCTGATGACTAATTTGACCGGGAGGTCCTTGTGGCATACCATGAAGGCCATGTTGTCCAGATACGCCTGGAGGTCCTAATTGTCCTGATAATGTTTGCGACGTGTGTTGTTGCGAAACACCAGGGGCACCAGGAGTACCATGACCTTGTACGAGTGTTCCTGGTGGTATCAGCGAATTATGCGCTGCAGAAGGAAGCGTATGTGGGTTATGTGGTCCGTTAGTACCAGTAAGATTATTAGCTGCCCAATTATTTGGTTGTGCCATGCCATTCTGTTGTGAATATTGATGGTATCGGTCTTGATGCCAAGGTGGCTGTCGATCACCTTGATTTTGGCGGTTTTGTCTTGGCGGACCATTGTCACGATATGAACGTGAGGAGCGGCCATCATATTGTCGTTGTCCTTGCCAGCCATCCCTACTACGATCACGACGAGAAGAGTTATCCTCACGATAAGAGGATCCCTCACGATATGATGACCCATCTCGATAAGATCTCGACTGACGATTGTCATACTGCCTATGAGCCCATTCTTCTCTACTCTTGTCACGAGCACGCCTAGTGTAATAGTTATCCCTTCTTCCTCTTCCGCTAGTATTAACATTATTATTTCCTCCTACATTTCCATTACCAACATTATTCCCATTCTGCTGACCACCTCCAGGAATACGGTTCCAATGTCGTGGTTGACGAGCACGACTTCCTCCTCTGTACCCTCGTTGCAGTTGTGTTTCTACTCTTTGAGGTGGTGCAACTGGTGGCCCATAAGGGTTTTCCGGAGGCCTAAAGTCATCCATATTAGACTGCATTTTACAAATTGCTTATTTTTATCGATTACACACCATTTAAAAGGGCTGCCGGGTTCCGGATGCAGGTTCATTCATCCATCCGTGTGATTTTGTGTATTACCTAATACGTTATATTATTTATGACTTAAAATTTTAATATACGTAAATGTTATTTTTTTTAATTGTTTATATGATAAATAAATACTATTTTTTTTTTATTTTTAATAAATAAATATATATGCAACATAAATATAATCGTAAAATTTTGAAATCAATTTTTTTTTTATTAAATTTTTCTATTGTTTTTATTTAAAAATTTTTTTTTATAGATAAACATTATTTTTTATTTATTATTATTATTTTTTTTATAATCAAATAAGTATTTATTTATTTATTTTTTTTTTTTTTGAAGAAGCGGGCGGTTCCCCGTATGTGTTTTTTATTATAAATTTTAGACTTGTAACAAGGCAAGATTTTATATTTAGTACACGGTATACGTCTCCCTTGCTAGG